ATGTTAAAGAAACAGTGTGGTGAAGAGGTAGGAAAGATGACACTGGTGACAAAAAAGACATGAGCTCCTCACCCACTTTAAATCAAAGTGACCCTGAACCTTCAACACAGTGACTCTGACTCATAAAGTCAAAGCTATTTTCAAATGACAGGAGCCTGGCCTAAGGGTAACAGTTCTAAGTAATTGAAATGAAGTTTCCATCAGCCAGCTTGCATGTACTAATCATCTGATATGTGCCCAAAACAAAAGAGTTAGAAGATAAAATTGTAAGCACACTGTCCTGGGTTTCAAACAGCCTGTGACAAAGTTGAGAGGCAGAAGTCACACATGGAATAAATAAAGAAACTACTTTTAAAAGCAACATACTAGTAAGTGTGGTAAAGTACAAGTATAAACAAGAAAAATGCTGAGAGCTGCAAGTCAGGGTAACCGAAGGCAGTCGGGCTCTGGGCCACATTCCGAAATGGGCCTGGGCAGTGTACGGCTATAGAAGGAGTCAGAATGCTTGAAAGCTGCCACTCATTTGTCACTGGTCCACTGTCACTCAGGCATTATAGCAGGACAGCAGCAAAACTATCACTCCGCACTACTCACTGCATCTGAATTCCATCAGATTATGGCAACCTTATCAGGATGGCTAATGATCTCGTCTAAGGTTTAAGAAATCGGTAGGCTTGTCTTCCTACTTGTTCTCTTTCTTGCTGTTCATCTTATGAAGCTGCAATTAACTAGGGATTTCTTCTCCCTCAGGACTCTTTATTTGGGGCCTTAGATCATTCACAGCTGTGGCTTGTGAGGTACAGAGCACCAGCATGGAGGAAGGAACAGAGGTGAATACCTGGTGGAGGATGTGATTCCTCTCATTGAGAAGCTTATTGTTTATAGAATGGTGAGTCTTAGAAGGACCTAAAAATATACATGAGACCCTAATGTTCACTCACAGGGGTTTTGCCCACCTTGCTCATCACTAGAACAGACGTGGAGCTACCAGAGCTTTCCAAACCATTTATATCACACTGTTTCACAGAACTAACTTAATATATCCAGTAACCAAGTTTCCAACTGCAAGTACCTCAGTTGGTTGTTGGCTCATTCATATTTCAACCAAAAGCTAATATACCATAAAGTGCATATTGATAAGTCTGCAATGATTAAGGCAAACACATAAAATCTCATTACTTAAAAGAAATGAAACTCACCGTGGTGTCCATAGCAATATTCCTCATCCATGTCCAAACATCAGATAGTTCACATGCCAGTCACAGTTAAATCTAATTTGCTGTAATCCTGATAAATCGGAGGTAATCAACAAGTCCTCCACTCCAGCTCCGAAGTAACACAGAAGACATTTCTGAAATACATTAATAAAGAGAGGATGGGGAGAAGGCTTCCTGACAATAGCTGACATTTGTTATGTACCAATAATCTTCCTTCGGTTCTGGTATTCTATTTATTAGAATTATAAATATGTACACAGTTTAAAAGAGATTTATCTGATGTTTGTTATTTCTTCTGTTACCCTTGCATGGTTACTAAAATTGAAATAAGAGCCACCATTTCTTGAAAGTGCTGTACTAAATCCTTAGCTTACTTAAATCTCATCTCAGGTTCATAACAACCCCATGAGAAATTATTCTACTTGCCACTTTGTAGCTAAGGAAACTGAGGCAAGAGAAGTCACATGCTGCCTGAAGTCCCACAAATAATCAAAGGCAAAGACAATACTTATACTAGTTCTGATTCCAGAGTCCAACTACCTGCTTTGCTTCTCCCTTTGTTGTAGAGACTTTTTATGTGATTGTTCATTAATCACATATGGACTGGTGGATAGTTCAAAAATTTCTAGTCTTGGGATATTCTGGTTGGTTATGGAGGACTAAAACTCTTGCTTGAAGAAATATTTCAATAGCAAAACCTATTTTCACTAGACGGCAGAGTTATTTGAAGTGGTTTACTTGGGCTGATTGACAGTTTGGAAGAGATAAGGATTAAAACCCTCCCAAATCATGCTTTGGTGCTGCCAGTGTGGATCACATTACTATGTACTTAGTATCATTTTCTCCTTGGTTCCCTGAAGAAAGGATATCTGTCCTATTTTACACCTTCAAATGTAAAATTTTATAACCTACCAGTACGATGGATCACAGTACTAAGTCATAATTACTTTTTCCCTATCAATTTTTTTTGCTTCAATCCACTAAAAGACATAGAAGCTACTGTTACACAATGCCTAAATAATTGTTTGATTAGATGTGAGGAGGAAAATTCACACTCACTAGCCACAAAGCATCCCATGTACAGAGCCATTTTAATTATATATCTTGGGCAGGCCGGGGCGCTCAGCGGTTTAGCGCCGTCTTCAGCTCAGGGCCTGATCCTGAAGACCTGGGATCGAATTCTGCATCGGGCTCCCAGCATGGAGCCTGCTTCTCCCTGCTGTGTCTCTGCCTCTCTCTCTCTCTCTCTCTCTGTGTGTGTGTGTGTGTCTCACTAATAAAATCTTTAATATATATATATATAATTTCTCATGGTCATGCAGAATTTAGAAAGCACTGTTGTCCTAAAGTTGATATTGCACAAAATCCAAAACCTGTTGTAGACAAGGGAAATTGTTTTGTATATAGGCAATATTTTGAAGTACGAAAAACTGATTTGGTACTATATTCCTTTCCCAAGCACTTAATCTGAATCTCAATTTTACTCTAAACTGCATTCGTTAGTATTATCCCCTATAGGTGTCACCTGAGAAGAGCTGTCATCAACTTAGTACCACCAGCCTGGTGTGTGTACCAGGTCTCAGTGAGCTCTGAAACTGCACAAAGCTGGATGACGACACCCATACCCTAAAGATGTGAGAATTAAAGACAATTCTTTTTTTAAAGATTTTATTTATTTATTCATGAGAGACAGAGACACACACACACACACACACACACAGGCAGAGGGAGAAGCAGGCTCCACGCAGGGAGCCCGTCGTGGGACTCGATCCAGGGTCCCCAGGATCACGCCCTGGGCTGAAGGCGGCGCTAAACCGCTGAGCCACCCGGGCTGCCCTAAACACAATTTTTTATCTAGACTAAGGAGCACAGCACCAGACACACAACAGGAACCAGATAAATGGTAGTTATTTTGGTGCTATGAGCATAGAGTAGTGACTGGGCAAGAGGTCGGATTCTGCAGAGGGTATAGGCTTGAGGGACTCATTTGTATTCCTTTTCTTCCTCACTGCATGATCCTCACTGCTTGCTGTAGGATCTTTAAAGATGAAAAATGTTAACTGCCATTTATCTGTAGCACGAATATATACAATTGCAGCCCCAAAGCCTAATTAACTCAAGGTTTAAAAATAAATCCTACAGCACATCAAATGGAATGGCAAAATACTTTACCAAAGGCTAAAAAACCCCAACTCGTCCACATTGTGCAACGAGCAAAAAAAAAAAAAAAAAAGACGTTTAAAAAGTGTGAAAATCGGGATCCCTGGGTGGCGCAGCGGTTTGGCGCCTGCCTTTGGCCCAGGGCGCGATCCTGGAGACCCGGGATCCAATCCCATGTCGGGCTCCCGGTGCATGGAGCCTGCTTCTCCCTCTGCCTGTGTCTCTGCCTCTCTCTTTCTCTGTGACTATCATAAATAATAAATAAATAAAAAGTGTGAAAATCGAGCTTAAGAAAATGCTTACATGTAAAGAAGTCACTTGTGGTGACTGCGTATTGTGTAAAAAAGAAATTACCTAACCGGACTCGGGGTGTAGTCACAGCGCACTTAACTGTGCCACAAGAAAAAATAAATGCATTACTGCAGCACACACTTGCTGGGCTCCCGTTACCTGACAACCACTCCCAACTACCCACTGGGCTTCCGGGGAGCCCAGCAGCCGCCCGCACTAAAGACAACACTGTCGACACCCGCCCACACCTCGCTGCCCACCCGCACCACGCACCCGCGGAGCAGTCCCCTCCGCCCCCTCTCACGGAGCTCGCGCGTTCACGTAATCGCAAATCGAAAACTCCAAGACGCACCTACGGCGTCCCACGAGGAAACGAAAAATTAAGCAGCAACTTCTTCCGCCCACGTAAAAGATGGCGCTTGAGGCGTCACCGCCCCCCCCTCCCCCGCTGCCCGGTTCCTTCCCTTTCGGGGGCGGGGTCCAGAGAGAGCAGGAGGCGTGTGCTTAGGAGGTGTGTGCTTTTGTTTTCTTCACCCTTCCTCCCCTGCCCTTGCTCTCACGGTATTCGCCGAAGGTGATGGGCGAAAGAGTGGGTAAAACAGATCCACCAGGGGGGACACCACCGGGGCGTGAAGCGCAGCGGGGGTCGGGAGGCGCGCGAGGGGCCGGGCCTGGGGGGCGGGGCCGGGCCTGGGGGGCGGGGCCGGGCCTGGGGGGCGGGGCCGGGGGCGGGGCGGCGGCCGGGCTGCGGTTGCGGTCCCTGCGCCCGCGGCGGCTGAGTCGCAGGAGGTGGCGAGTGGGTGAGTGCGGAGCCGGCGGGCGGGCGACTGCCCGGGGTCCGGGTCAGGGGCCGCGCGGGGGCGGCGGCGGCGGTTCTCCCCGGGGCGCGGCTCGTCCTCCCAGACGCAAACCCGGCGTCGGGTTTTCCAGCCGGTGGCTAGTGGAGGCGCCTCCATCCGGGCCCCCGGCTCCCCGGCTCCCCGGCGGCGGCGGCGGGGCGGGGGGCCGGGCCTCTGGCCTCGTTCCCGCCCGCAGGCCGCGCGCCGGCCGCTCCCCGGGGACCCGGTGTGCGACCCAGAGGGACCCGTCGGGCCCTCGGCGCCGCGGGTTCGAGGGAAAGCGCCTCGGGCGCTGAGAGGCCCGGCTGTGGGGAAGGCCAGAGGGCGGGCGGTGCGCGGGGAGCCCCAAGTCCGGGCCGGGGAGGCGGCAAAGCGGGGTGGGGCGGCCTGGGGGAGGGAGAGGACGCGCAAGTGGACACAGTTTCAACGCAGGTTCCCAAAGACTGCCGCTTCCCTGTGCGTTGGAGGAGCCACTCCGGACGGAGTTGTGTGCTCCCTCAGTGTGCAGCCGGCGTGCTTGCTTCACAGCGCCGAGGTTACACAGGCTCGCTCAAAGGAAGTGTGACCACTGTGACCTGAGCATCGCTCGGCTGATGCTATCTGCTGCAGAAAGAAGCGCACTGATTACGTGTCTGCTGTGCCCACACGGGGTCTGAGTCACCCCCTACTCCACCAGGCTGCTGTATCCAGGAGACTCACTGGTAGGGAGGTCGTGCACTTGCCCGAGAGAGATGGCCCCTTCGGAGACAGAGAGATTGCCTGGCCCTAGGAAGGCCACAGTGGTTGTGGCCAGTGGGCAGATTCCGATTCAAACCGTTCCCGTCCTTCACCTGTGATGAAAAGCAACACATCTGGCTTTACGTTCAGTCTGCACTTTTGATTCGAAAAATACTGTTTGATACCATCTTTCTCAGACTTTAGAAGACTTTTAACGTAATGGGAACCTTAGAGATGCGAGAAAATGGAAGATTAATCACATGGAGTCAGGATACTTGGAATATAGATGGTGGTGTGTGACAGATACCTTTGGCCAGCACCTCATCCAAACCCTACTGCTCTGGGAAAACCCTAAATCAGTTGGAAAACGCCCCGTGACGACTGCTCTTTATACATCCAAAACAAAAACGAGAGGAATTCTAGACCATATCGCGTGCTCATTGTGCACAGAGCAGCACTGACCTGCTCCAGGAAAGTTACATTAGGTGCTAAAGATTTTTTTTTCCCCCTCTTTATAAAGTTGATAAAATAGTCTCTCTTTGGCTCTGTTAGCAGTCCAAAATTTGCTTTCGGAGAAAGAAGTAAAAACAAAGAACAATGAGGACTCCTGTCCTGCAAGCCTGCCCTTGGGCTCTATGTTAATTAAGTAGTTCTAAGGAGAACAGCCTATTACGTGAGAAACTTGCATCTGTGAGAGATAGCCAGACCTTGATGTAAACTTCATCTCCGAATCTTGCCTGATGAAAATTTAGAAAGTGTTGCAAACAGTCCAGTGTTGATAGTTCACTCTCCTTAAACTTGGCCTGGGCGTCATCTGTTTTTGGAAAGCGGGCTGGCCTAGGACCCTGCTGCTTTTAGGGCTTGGAGAAAATAAACAAAGCGTGGTTACAAGTGTGAGCCTTATGATGGTACAATTCTGAGTTACATACAACAGCAGTGGACCAATCAACTTTCTAAATACCACTGGGAGAAGAGATGGCTGGTTTTTAGCAAAGGTTTAAGAAAAAGCAAAGCTTCCAACCTACTACTCTGCTAACAGTTTTAACAGATGGTAATTAATACAATCTTATGTCTGCATATGTTGGATTATTTTCAGAAAGTTTATCGGTACATCCTCATGAGCCCTATTCTTTGTTTACAGGAGTGGAAAGCCACCGTGTCACCCAATTTGGATCCTGGCTTCCCTCAAAAGACTCTTATGGCTAATGTTTGATAATCTTCTGGAGTAGCCAACTACATGTAGATGTATAGATAAAAGACTGTTGGTTTTCACCCGATTTTTTTTCAGCCACATTTACGTATATGGATTTTCCTCACCAAAGATGATGACTTTACATGTTAGTAAAACTATTTTTACAGCTCTCCTAATTATACTTATCTGTAGCATTTCATTTCTCAAAATTATTAATTTTGGCAGGATTTTAAGCTAAACAATTCAACATGATTCTTGTCCTTTGTTTTCCTTTCTAATGAGAATAGCGATGAGGCTATATGTAATTAATTGTCTGTAGTAGTTTAGTTTTCACAATCAGGTAAAAATTTTCCTGTAATTCAACCAGATTTTGCTCTGGGGCTCTGTTCGGCTTTAGGAAATGCTTTTATTTTCAGTGTAATGATGAAATGTTTGAGTTCAAATATTGTTGTTATGGTTATTCACCTTTTTTATCCAAAAAGGAGGAACAAAAGGAAAATGTTACAATATAATTTTGTGGCTATGTGTTAACTCATCTCCTTGGCCCCCAATTTCCTGTTATTTACTTAATGATGACAATAGCATCATTACAGTTTGAATTCAAATTACATTCCTGTTTTCTATCACTGTAAACTGTTTAAATTGTATCTGAAACAGTGGATATTTTAAGTTAGCTAGACAGTTTATGTCCAGTGTAGTCTTTTAAGACTTACGTTGATAGAACACATTAAAAAGTAAATATTCCCTAAATGAACTACTAAACTAAAAAATACATATGTGAACTGCCTTTATGTTAAGTCATTTCCACACATGCATACTCTAAAGTGTTTTGCCAAGTTCTGTATACCTATTCTTGACATTCATGATAAAAGTGCTCATCTAATACTCTAAAAATAGAAGACACTACTTTTCAGCAGCTTTTGAACTCTCTTGACAAGAGAGTACATTTAAGTAAATGAATTGTAGTTATAGATAAAATGTTACCTCCCAAAGCAATCCTTATGATGAATAGATTCCACAATTTTAGACTTGCTTCAATGTAATTGTTATGGTTCTTTTCACTCTAGGTCTTCCAATACACATATTCATTTTTTTTTTAAGATTTTATTTTTAAGTAATCTACACCCGTCGTGGGGCTCAAACCCACAAGATGAAGAGTCACATGCTCCACTGACTGAGCCAGCCACCTCTCAATTTTAATATTAGGCAAGAATTATTCATTTTACACTGATATCACAGAGTATTATACCTTTAGGGTGTTACATTTCAGTGGGTTAAGATATATAAGAGACTTTGATTCTTACCTGACTCTGTGACTTTGGACTTTTCTCTGGGTCTGTTTTCTCAGTACATTGAAAGGCTTGACCAGTATCCATCCAGTCACTTTACTCTTTAAATGTTGTAAATAAACGAAACTTTTTAGTTGAGCCATTTAGTATAGTATACAGACTCTCTGTAAGGAACTCAGTGTACTGCTACACGGCTTCCTTAAATTTAAGTAGCATATTAAATATATTTATAGTTATCTTGATGTTTCAGTATTATTTTAAACACCGGTATTGGGCTTTAATACCCTGATACCCAGAGAGCTTGAGAATAACAGAGAATAACAGTTGAGAATAACAGAACTGTTTGCTCATTTTTTGTTATGGTTCCAGCTGATTGTTTTTGCAGTCTTTTGTCTCTTTCTCTTTCTCTTTTTCTTTTATCTCCCACCCCATCTTTTTTTTTTTAAGATTTTATTTATTTTTTCATGAGAGAGAGACAGAGACATAGGTAGAGAGAGAAGCAGGCTCTCTGCAGGGAGCCCGATACAGGACTGGATCCCATGACCTGAGCCACAGGCAGATGTTCAACCACTGAGCCACCCAAGCACCCCACCTCTTCCCCCCTTTTAACAGCTTTAAAGTGTTTCTACTAACAGGTGTCTTTACTAGTTTCCTAGGACTGCCGTAACAAAGTACCACAAATTGGGTGAACAAAACAACAATAATTTATTCTTTCACATTTTTGGAAGCTAGAAGTCCAAAATTAGATGTCTGTAGGGACATGCTCCTCTGAAGGCTATATAGGAAGGCTATATAGGAAGAATCTTCCTTGCCTCTCAACTCATAGTAGTTTCCAGCAATCTTTGGCTTTCCTTGGTTTGGAGTCATATCACTCCAGTTCCTACCTCTATGTTTATATAGCCCTGTTTCTCTTTGTACATGTGTCTCTAAATCTTTCTCATAAAGACACCAATCATTGGATTAGGATCCACCCTAATCCAGCATGACCCCATCTTAATTTGATTACACCTACTTTCAAATAAGGTCACATTCACAAATACAGGAGGTTAGGACTTGAACCTGTATTTGGGGAGGTGGAAGACACAGTTCAACCCAAAATGACTGTCTGAGCCTTCCCTTTCCCATTTTGCTCCTCTTTTGTTGTGGTTTAGGAGCCAAATATCCAATCATTAGAATTGCACATAGACTGAATTCCTGAGAACAGTGAGGGTCTATTCTATGAGCTTTAGCATATGATATTTTATATTAATGTTCAAAGACCCCTTTTTTGGAAGATTATTATTTTGGATTTTTAAGTGTATTCCCTGAATATAGGTGACAAGGTACCATGTACCATAAGGTTCTCATCATATTAGCAAGCATTTGATGTGCACCTGCCATGCTAGTCGAATGTCTATCCTAGGGGACGTGCTTCCAAATCTTTTTTTGCCTGAAGAAGAGAAAACCACACAGTTCTAAAGTCATTTGAATTTCTGGTGTATTGCTTGAAAATTGCTGAACCTAATCATTGGTTTTGTATGTTGTTGTTTAGATATCCTGGGACCATTTGGATAGTGTGGTAGTTGGGATGCAGTGATGTCGAATCTCTGTCCACCACCATCTCCAGCTGTTGCCAAGACAGAGATTGCTCTAAGTGGTGAATCACCTTTATTAGCAGCTACCTTTGCTTACTGGGACAATATTCTTGGTCCAAGAGTAAGACACATTTGGGCTCCAAAGACAGAACAGCTACTTCTCAGCGATGGAGAAATAACTTTTCTTGCCAACCACACCTTAAATGGAGAAATCCTCCGAAATGCAGAGAGTGGGGCTATTGATGTGAAGTTTTTTGTCTTGTCTGAAAAAGGAGTGATTATTGTTTCATTAATCTTTGATGGAAACTGGAATGGAGATAGGAGCACGTATGGTTTATCAATTATACTTCCACAGACAGAACTTAGCTTCTACCTTCCACTTCACAGAGTGTGTGTTGATAGATTAACACATATTATCAGGAAAGGAAGGATATGGATGCACAAGGTGAGTGGTTTTGGTACTTATTAATCATGCTAACCTAGCCATTAAAAGATTATCTTCTGTTATATCTAATTTTTAGAAATTATATAGAAGTAATTTCAAACAGTAGCTATTATTTGCATCTGCCCTGTTAGATAGTTCTAATAGTCTAATGTCAGTGATCTTCATCAGAACCCCTAAAGGTAGGAAATGGTAGCTCTATGTTACAAGTAAAACCTAAAGGTTAGAGAAATTAAAAATATTGTAATAAGCTTTTAAAGTCTAGGTTTGTCTTGGGAACCTTTATAAAACTTTCTCTCTTTTTGCATTGCATGACCCTGTTTTTCACTTAATACTGTGTGTAGGTACAAGCAGTTCAAAACAAATGTTTCATAAGCAGTTGGCCATGTAGCCTTTGGTCTCCTTAACTCCTTTGCCAAGTTCTGAAATTTGGAAAATGAGGAGGTTGGACCAAATGGGTTCCAGGAGGTGTTCCTTTTAGTTTTACAGATTGAGCCAGAGGAAATTGCTGTCATCCTCTAACTCCTATAGTTTAATATTTAGTGATTTTTATATTTTCAGATATTTTTGACAGACCTGAAGAACAAATTTAACTCTCCTTTCAGCTTTGCAGTTTTGATACTAGTATGGAAGTCTGTTAAAGTGTTATTCATTTTATAAGTTTTTACCAGATAGTAAAGAGAAATGGTATCTTTGAAAAGAAAGAGTGTTTTATTATGTTTACATATTATGTCTTATTTTAAATGTTTATGAAAATCACTTACAGTCAGGAAGCCCCAGATATATATAACTTAATCTTACTTAATTTGAAAAGTACAAACCATTAGTTTCCTTTGTGAAACTATGCAGATGTTACATTGACTGTTTTCTGATAAATTACCTTTTTTTTTAACTACAGAGAAAAGGATGTTTTTATCTTATTTTGTATTGTTTGTATGTAAGAGAATGGATTTGTTGGGTTAATTTCCTATACTCTCCCTTTTTTTTTCTGCCCTAACGTGGAAAGTATTTTTCCCATGAACTGAATTACACAATATGTCAGCCAATTAACTATACCATGAAAAATAAACAAATATCAATTTTCTTTTAATTTTAATGAATTTTCTCTTGCTCAGGAAAGGCAAGAAAATGTGCAGAAAATAGTCTTAGAAGGCACAGAAAGAATGGAAGATCAGGTAAGATACAGAATGCATACTATCAAACACCACCAAGCTCAGGGCATGCAGCTGTATAAGGCTGTGGGCTATTTTTCTTAAGTCCTTGAAGCCATACTGTTTTGAAAGGGTGGGTATGAAAATGAACAGAGTCTTTATGGAAATATATGGAATAAACTGGATGAAGATTTCCATATTAGACCTGAAGAGTTAAATAAGTGAAGAATAATAGCAATTTTGGTACCTTTTTTTTTCTGTTTGCACAGAATAAGTTTTGAATAACTTGTTTATAGTAAAAATTTTAAGTTTTATATGAGATTGTCTTTAAGGTATTACTTCTCAAACATTTCCCCAGAACTAATTATAACATAGGGAAGTTGAGTATACTCCTAGGGATATCTGGGGATACAGGCACAGTTGTAAGCATAATATTTATTTGAAGTCTCATGTTGTATTTTTAAAACTCATGCAATTTATATCCTATTTTGTATCTATTTAGTGTTAGAATTTGCCAGTGATATCCCTCACCTTCTGGTAATAAGAAGTATCTAGGGAAATACGCCATGGTTATCCTACTGCTTTGAATATTCTTAGGGTAGAGGCAACGGCATTTGAGATGCATAATTGCATGGATATGGCTTCCCTTATGGAAGTTAAATGCAAACCATTTCAGTGCAGGGCAGAGATGTTCTGAAGAGGAATTTCCAAAGGAGAAGGGATTTTTTGCCTTTCCTCTCATTGCCTCTGGCCACTCTCAGTGTTCCTTCTGTTGAGTTCTAGTCTAAGGATGACTGAGTTGTTCTTACTCTGGTTCTCCTTTAGCATGCCTGAGACAAAATAATTTTTTGGGCGCCTGAGTGGCTCAGTTGGTTAAGTGTCTGCCTTGGGCTCAGGTCATGATCTCAGGGTCCTGAGATCACCCACCGTTGGCTACTTCTCCCTCTGCCTGCCCCCACCCCCCACTACCCCCGCTTGTGCTGTCAGATAAATTTTAAAAATAAATTTAAATTAAAAAATTTTTTAAAAAATTTTAAAAATCTGTAAATAATAACTGTTCTAAAAATTTGTGAATACATAGGGACTTGAACCAGGAAAATACAAAACTCTATAAAGTGACTTCCTTTACAAATTGTTATTATACCTGTATTTTTGTAAATAACTTTCTAGGCAAGAGGAGGTAATCCTGGGGAAAGGTCTAACATTTAAAAGAAAATGTTTCCCTTTACCCAGCAAAGCCTGGTTTTTACTTGTTGGTCAATGAGCAGAGTGCCAAGCATTGGGACTTTTACCAACCTCTAGATGTACCTGCTAGTTATGAAGTAGTTAGTAGAGTTACCTCAAGATAAAGAAATTTAAGACCCAATAACATTCTGCATTTCCTGGGAATTTTTTTCAAACCAGAAACCTGTGCTTAAAATGTTTACCACTATTCACTTTTAAGTTTTATTTCTGTTTTAAGGGTTCTTCTTGAAAATGTTAACCTCTTCTGTATATTTAGACCAACTGGAGGTTTTTAAAGGGGAAACATTCTCTTGTAAGAAGTTCAAGTTACAGAAGTCACAAGAGGAAAAGAAACTTGAGGGATTTTCTTTTGAGTTTCTTCTGTTCAGTCTTGTAGGATTTTTTGTTGTCGTTAAGCTTTGAGGAGATAATGATAAATTGTGATAAATATCTGAGATACAGTTTATGGCACTATATATATATGCCTACATCTAAGGGAAGTTATTTTTCTGCAGTTATCCTTTCTGCATAGAAGCTGCCTGATAATAGAATCTTTACAAATCTCACATCATGTGCTTAAAATGACTTTATTTTGAACAAATAAACACTATTTGGGGATTTCACATTAGTCTGGAATTAATCACTGACTTCATTCAGTGCGAGTTTTGGATGCTTATAGCTATCATCTGATAAAATCACTTTACAAGGAAATCACTTTATAGCTAGTCATTATTCTTGTTGAATTGCAAGTGTCGATTGAAACTGTAAACAAGCATTTTAAAACAGTGAGTGGTTATGTTTGGAGGTTACTACAGGATGAATTTTTTTAAATAATAAAACCTTCTATATGATACAAGGAGGCTTATGACTTAGCATAAGATTTCCATAGACAGCATCACATTTAAATTCCCAAGTTTCCAAAAAACTGGATATGATCACTCAGACAATGACTCTGACTGAGATTTAAAGACATGTGAAAAATTTGAATAAAATAGTTTAATGAGAGATGAGTGAGGAAAAAAACTTGTTAGAATGTTTTTAATATGTAATTTTTAAAACATGTTTAGCTAAAAATTAACATACATATGTGACAATTTTATCTCTAAAGTTTACATACTCAAGATGTTTCAAAAATTGGGGGACAGGGGTGATGGTCCTGCTTTGAATATTCTTAGGGTATAGGCATGGTCATCCATCTTTGAGATACTCTATGTTTGTGATGTACTATACTGAATTTTCAGTTTCATTCTAGAAACTACAAATTTCAAAATTATGTTTTTGATGTCTGTTTTATTGACTTCTTAAAACATATGTGGTATTTTGATTTTCATTTGGGTACTAAACCTTACTGTGAATCTACAAGGTGGGTTTTGAGTCAAACTTGACTACTAAGTTGTTTGCTGACTATTTCTCAAGTCTTATGGCTGATTTTCCTCATTTTAAATATAAAATGCATCAATGACCTTTAATTAACAAGTTTTTCATATCTCAAATAAATATCAAAGGAAATCCTTTCTAAATTTGGTATGGTAATTAAATTATTGCATGTAACAGTAGATGATAAGCCAATGATTCCACTCTGACTAAAGAAAATCATTCCTGGAAGAATGAAAATGAGTTTTAAATAATATGTACATCCTTTAGAAACATTCTGGAGGAGTAGACATGTTTGGGGCTGTGTTTTAACAAGTTATTATTTCTTTCAAAGGATGTTATTCCTTGCTTTCAGTTCTTAGTTTTTTATTGCCCCGTTTATCCTATACAGGATTTCCCTGCTAACCAAAAGTAGAGTATTCCTCTAAAATCTTTCATACACTGAAATGGCCATGAAGTATAGAAGCAATTATAATTAATTTGTATGGAAAAGTTTTTGAGTGTTCCCAGACCCAAAAAATAACCTCTCTTAAGCGTCTCTGTCTGATATCTGAAAACACAGTCTACTAAGGGGTGCACAAAATAAATCAAGATAAAGCACAGATGCTCATAGACACAGTCCAAAGCTAAGGTGGCTTGACGCTAAGATGCTGAGTGGAGTCCCGGGAGGCTCAAGGGGTAGGAGCTTGGCTAGGCTAGTCTGGTGCTCAGAGTATGTGCCACCTCCTACAATGGCTCATTCAAAACAAATGCTCAGTGCTGTTTTGGCATTTCACCTTTTTTTTTTTTTTTTTAAAGCAGAAATTCTCTTCAGATTTCTTTTGCTTGCTGGAAACAGATACTAATCAATGTAGGTCTTTCATAAAGCAAAACGGTGTAACTTGAACTTTCAAAAAGAGCAGGGCGTTACCTTCATTGTCAGATTTTCTTCACTTCATTTTGCTTTTTTGTACAGGGTCAGAGTATTATTCCAATGCTTACTGGTGAAGTAATTCCTGTAATGGAACTGCTTTCATCTATGAAATCACACAGCGTTCCTGAAGAAATAGATGTAAGTTATTACTTGTATTATTAAATAGGAATTCCCTTGAGTTATATGACTATTATGTATATTAGTAGCATTCTAATTTTAGTAGTATTCATTTTTTTGTCATGCATACTATTCTCTATTTCATACTAATGAAGTATTAGCCACTTGAGCAAACACAGAAAATCCTGAGTTTTAGAATCAAACAAAGGCTTTTTTTTTATTCGGTCAATGATAGTTGTGACAGAACTACATTTTATTTAGTTTATTTCACCACTTTTGTATTTCTTAGAATTCTACAACTTATAAAAACAATCAGTATTTAATGCAGTACTTTTTGTAACAAAGCAGTATACCAATCAGCGGTGGTTAACACAAGTTTACTTACATTCACTAATCTAGTTTGCTTAATCATTGTTGGCATTTTGAATCACACCCTCTCCTTGTGTAGAGAAATCTTCAGGAAACTATTGTTTCTTTCTGACTTTGTCATTAAGATTTGTCTTCTGACTGACAGCCCAGAAGAGGAAGTTGTTCTTGTAAAAATCATTGCTTAACCTGCCTGACCAGTTTTCACATTTGTTCTGAAATTTTATGGAAGTGCTAGAGATTGTTTTATTGGGATTCTTGATGCTTAGAAATTAGGGCAATGTGTCATATTGAACCTAAAATTCAGAAAACTTGTGTATTTAAGAATGTTATTTCAATGCTTATATTACAGCCAGGATAAATTTTTTTTTTGTGATGCATTTTAGATAGCAGATACAGTTCTCAATGATGATGATATTGGTGACAGCTGTCATGAAGGCTTTCTTCTCAAGTAAGAATTTCATTTCTTTTTGTAAGGGATGGATAAACCAGATAGAAATCTTATGCTCACTATGACACAATTTGGAAGGACAAAAATTAATGAGACTAGCTATCCAAATTATTCTAGGAACAATGTTAAGTATTTAAACTATTACTTAGCTTTGTGTTATTTTTTCATTTATTACATATCTCTGATCCATTTAATGTCACTCTTTTTAATATGTAAAGAAGCTGGGTTTCCATAGTGCCCAGACAAGAAATCTTGGTCTGTTGTTTGGTTCTGGTTTCTTATTTTACTTCTCATCAAAGTTGAAACTAAGAACTGAAAGGGGTTCTTAAACCCATTTCCAGTGTTGGGGCCTTCGCACCAACAATCCTCTAGATACCAAGTGGGTGTCCTACAGTTTAATTCAGTTCTGACACACTCTGCCTAGAGAGTGTCAGATTCCATAGGTTAAGGGTTTAGTCCCACAAGACTGCATCTGTCCCTGCCCCCAGACACCAGTCTGACTGACTTGTAACAGATTGGAGGTTCCACCCACCCACTCCTTGGACATCAGACACCAGTAACAAGTCCAGGTTGTTACCTGGACTTCTTACCAATTGGCTATAAATTAGGTTCCTACGACCCCCTCCTTGGGTTCCATTAATATGCTAGAGCAACTCACGGAACTCAAACATTTTATTTACGTGATTACCAGTTAATATAAAGGATAGGCTCTAAGATACTGATGAACATCTAGATGGAAGAGATGCATAAGACAAAGTCTGGGGAAAAGGTGAAGGGCTTCCATACTGTCTCGAAGGATACTACTTTCCCCAGATCTCCAGGTGTTCACTAACCTGGAAGCTCTCCAAACCCTTTCCTTTTGGGTTTTCATGGAGGCTTCATTCATTCCATAGACATGATTGATTGATTGATTGATTGATTGATTGATTAAATCATTGACCACTGGTGATAACCTCCAGCCCCTCACCCCTCCCCAGAGGTCAGGGGGGAGGAACTGAAAGTTCTTACCCTTACCATGTGGTTGGCTTCATTGGCAGTCAGCCCCTATCCTTAGATGCTTTCCAGAAGTCACCTCATTAACCTAACAAAAAGCATCTCATTTCCTACACTTAGAAAATTCCAAGGGTTTTGGAAACTGTTAGCCAAGAACTACGGATGAAGACCAAATATATATTTCTTAAAATCACAATATCACAGAACCTTTACAAATTAACTTACATTGTGGAGGGACTTAAGTTATTTAGGCCTACAAAAGAAAATTATTTGTATTTTTACTGATCCTTTCCATCTTACAGCAAATTTTAGTATTTAAGAGTGTGGGCTCTAAAACCAGACTTACTGGGTTATTGCTATTTGAACCTGAGCAAGATACCTAAAGTCCCTGTGCCCCCATTTCCTCATCTGTAAAATAGGAATAAAAATAGTACCTACTTCATATGATTTGTTATAAGAATTGAGTAAGATAAGTCATATTAAGCACTTAAAACAGTGCCTGGTACATATAAGCACATAATAGCTGACATTTTCTATTTCTATTTCTTCGAAGGAAAATGTAATAACAGTAAAAACAACCAATATTTATCAGGTGCCTGCAAGTTAGTCCCTATACTAAGTGCTCTCTCTGCACGTATAATCTCATTTTCTACCTTAGTGTTTCTTTACAATTGCAGATTATCATGAAATTTCATTTTTTTTTTCAATGAGAAGTGAAAGGATAAGGTATTTGCTTTTTATGTCCATAGTCTTTTCCTCAGAGAATATCAGAGGTGGGAGTGTTTTTAACTGAGAAGCCTTACATAGCTTGACTCAGAAGCACTTTAGTGCTGATTCTGCTCACTGTCAGCCATTCATCATTATTTTTAACCCCATTTGACTTTAAATAAATCACTTAACCTCTCCACACCTCAGTTTCTTTCATTATAAAATAGTAATATTTTACTAACTGGGTTTTAAGTTCAAATGGGAGAATCTCTGAAAGGCCTGAGGCGAATGTAAAGTACTAGGAGAGATAAGAGATGGCAAGGCATTGTTCTTACAGTTTTGGCACTCATCATGTAAAATTACTCTAAATTGTTTGAAGTTCACTTACCCTTTTTTTGTTTTAGTCTGTGACATTGTTTTACAGGCAGTGTTTTTCATCTTTTTTGTTCATCTTGCAGTGCCATCAGCTCACACTTGCAAACTTGTGGCTGTTCTGTCGTAGTAGGCAGCAGTGCAGAGAAAGTAAATAAGGTAATTTATTCTAATCCAGTCTAATCTGACTTCTTAACACTCTAATATATCAGGGGCTGTAATTTAAAAGTTAGGTTGCAGTCAAGATGATCTAATAGTATAAGGAGGTAATATAATCTGGCCAAATTACTATGACACCCTGGAACAAGTAGACTGCTTAAATAGGAAATCATTTATCCATTTCATTTTGATAACTCATAAGTATTACACAGTTACCAGCATTGTATAAATGCTTTTGAGAATTTCATAAAATAATTAGATATTTTTCAAAAATACTTATCTTCTATTCTCTGACATCGCTTTTAGTAAACATGAAGATAATAACCATGTACTTTTGATACTGATTCCAAAGAAATGTTATCTGATTATTCATCTTGATTTCTTATATTGCTTTCCCTCCTGAATCTTTTTTAGGGACCTCTTGTTTTTGAGTGGTCTGTGGATGTTATGTTTTATTTAGTAACATTTGTGACCACTTTCTTCAGTGCCACATGAGTTAACAAAGAATTAGCAAAGTTCTCTTTCCAAGCATCAGGCAAAAAAATAAGGGATTTTGCACTTTTCGTTACTGTTATGTAGAAGGAGATGTTTCACATATCTATCCATTTAAGCAAACCTGATTTTTCTTTTTATGTTTTACACAGAAAATATGTTAGGAATGATTATTTCCTTAACAAATATATTTGTAGTTTTTTTTCTCTAATAAGTTACCCTGTATGCTTGCATGACCCTTAATTTACCAGAATTATATTTTTGTGTACATCCATTTATGAGAGGTTAGTATACTTCTTACTATATTGATTTAGCAATTTATTATTACATTTGTTATCCCAAGAAGGTAGGTTTCCATCTCTGTCACCCAGAGCCTTCAGATTTCACGGAAGGACCGCCCAGTAGCTTTTTGGAAGGAGAAGGCTCTGTTGTCAGGGCTCTGTGTTTTTAAAACGCTTTTTTCATCCCACATCCGCTTCTGGCAAAATCAGTTCTCTTTTATTTTTTTAATATGAAAAAGGTTGCCATTACTCTGTATTGAAAGCCACTACTTTAATGTAAAAACTCTCTGAATATTGTCTGAATTCCAACATCCTTACATGGCTTTTTACTTTTCCTAACAGAGCTATAGACCAAATCCTGTTAGAATCATAGATTTAAAAAAAAAAAAAAAAAAGAATCATAAATTTCTAAGCCCCAATGTCTTACTTATTTAAAATCAAATTTGATAGAATTAATTCTCATTCTATTGAAGGATTTGGACACTCCTAACATTCATTATAATGGGATTTCACATGTAGAACTATTCAACAGAAACCATAATTCTGCCTAATATAACTACATTTAGTTTTCTTGTCCAGAACTGTTTTTACTTATTTGAAAAATAGTTGCTGCTGGGTGGGGATACAGTCAATAATTATATTAAGTCATTAGTTCTTGCTGAAATACGAGTTCTGTGGACAAATATGTTGGATAAAGTATGCATTTTGTATCAGTCACCTGGAAGGTTACAATATGGATTCGAATGCTAAAGGTTTTGAGGTATCATACAGTACATTTCTCAAACTTACTTGATCACAGAATTCCTATTTTAAGCAACAACTGTCCCATGGACCCCTGGCAAGTGACTAAGGAATACTTTTTTTCAGGATGTACTTTATTCACAATAATGGTTGAAGTTTCTATTCAGATTTCTTTGATAAGCAAACCAGTGGGCTTTTAATTTCCTATTTTAATGCTAAAATATTTTCTTTTACAGATAGTGAGAACATTATGCCTTTTTCTGACTCCAGCAGAGAGAAAATGTTCCAGATTATGTGAAGCCGAATCATCATTTAAATATGAGTCAGGGCTCTTTGTACAAGGCCTACTAAAGGTATAGTTTCCATTTGTCACAAGTGAAAGCAACTTTTAAAAATCATTTTTGGTACTCTTTATAAATACATTTTGAATATTAGCACGTAGTGCACCTCATGTTTATATGCCAAGGAGCTGACCTATACACAAGTCTGAACATAGAGAATATGTGTTACAGATTTTTAGTTAGTATGAGTGAAACATCACAGAATATCTTTCTGTGTTTTTCTCTTTGGTTTCCTATAGCTTCCTTGCCTGGCCTCAGGATTATTTGTTTTTTAATATGTGCTTGAGTCAAGTTTGCACATCTAAAAAGGGTACTTTTTTTTCTTTTACTGAAAAGGATTTGAATTTTTGTTAGCATTTTTTGTTTATGTAATGTACTCATTATTGAAAAAAAAATTTTTTAACTGCTTCCTGTCTTCAGAAAGTATATATAGAATGTGAACGATTCATATATATATTCACATATATGTATTTTTATTTTTATTTTATTTTTTTATATATGTATTTTTAAATTACATTTTTCTTTACTTGGGCCTGTTCTCTTTTTTCTTTTTTTTTCTTTTTTTTTTTAATTCCAATATAGTTAACATGGAACATTATTATATTAGTTTCAAGTGTACAATGTAGTGCTCCAACAATTCTGTACATTACTCAAGGCTCATCATAATTAATATGCTCTTTAATCCTCATCCCCACAAATAACCATCAGTTTGTTCTCTGTAGTTAAGAGGCTGTTTTTAGGTTTGTCTGGATTTTTTGTTGTTGTTCATTTATTTTGTTTCTTAAATTTCACATATGGGTGAAATATGATATTTGTCTTTCTCTGACTGAGTCCACTTTTCAAGGAATAAAGCAGATAAATATAAGTTAGCAATTATTTTCAATAATTACGGGAAGACAGTTATTTTACTGAATGTGTTGCTGATATTTCAATTATAGTCCAAGGTATGAGAAAGTATATTTCCTAATGGTTATGTGATTCATAGTGAATGCTTTCTTGGGGATTTACATAATAAAATGAAAGAAAACATACTAAAAATTGTTGTAAATAAAAATTATGTTCAGCTGGGCAACCCCAGTGGCTCAGTGGTTTAGCGCTGCCTTCAGCCCAGGGCCTGATCCTGGAGATCCAGGATCGAGTCCCACATCGGGCTCCCTGCATGGAGCCTGCTTCTCCTTCTGCCTGTGTCTCTGCCTCTCTCTCTCTCTCTCTCTCTGTGTCTTTCATGAAGAAATAAATAAAATAAAATCTTTAAAAAAAAATTATGTTCAGCTTTTGCATTTTCAATAGTGTGCATGCTCTGAGCTCAGAATGATATTTAAATACAGAAACTACTTACGGGAAACACATTTCTATTTTGAATTGCACAAATCTGAAATTTAGAATTTCTTTTTTATCAAAGACATAATAAAGTGCTTAGTACTTTTATTTCCTCAGCACCCTCTCATTTAATTAATTATGTAATTTTATCCCTGAAAGGGACCTATACCAGATGCACAGAGGAAAGCTTGAAACTATAATTTAATGAAAAAAATCTGTTAACAGTTTTCTGTACATATATAAATTGTTAAGCCTTTCAGAAAATACTTTGACGTTGCATATCAGGAGCCTTGAAAATGTTCAAAGACTTAACCTACTCTTTCTACTTCTAGAAATCCATCCTAGGGAAACAATTATATAAGGAGAGAGATTACTTATAAAGGTGTTTATGACAGCATTGTAAGAGTAAAAAATTGGAAATATCCTCGATATTATATTCGTAACCTATACTACAATGCTTCGTACACAGTAGATACTTCTTACATGGTATTTACCCAATTGACAATACCTGGAAAGAAGTACATTGTTTACTTATAAAAATACATATTCAATGAGATTTAAAAGAACATGTGAATAATCAATAAGAAAATAAAAAGTTCCCCATAATCTCCTAATCCAATGAATAACCTGTTAAAATTTGGCATATATCTTTCTTGTCTTTTTATTCTTCTGTGTGTATCTTTTACATAGTTCCCTGTCCCCTCTGCATATTTTAACCTCCATTTTCCACAATATCTTATGAACATCTTTCTATATCAACACATAAACTTCAAATTAATTTTTAGTACGTAAATAAAAAAACATTTTTATTTCATCACTTCTCTTTTTGGATACTTCACTTATTTTTTAGCATTTTACTATTAAAACCAGTGCGGTAGTGCACTCATCACTAAAACTTTGCACACGATAATGACTAATGTCTTAGGATAAACTTATAGAGATGGATTTGTGAAAGCCAGTTTTTCTAATTAAAAAATAATCCTTCATATCTTTTGGCATATAAGAACAAATTTTCTTTTCATTTTGACAGGATTCAACTGGAAGCTTTGTGCTCCCCTTCCGGCAAGTCATGTATGCTCCCTACCCCACCACACACATAGATGTGGACGTCAATACTGTCAAGCAGATGCCACCATGTCACGAACATATTTATAATCAGCGTAGATACATGAGATCCGAGCTCACAGCATTCTGGAGAGCCACTTCAGAAGAAGACATGGCTCAGGATACTATCATCTGCACAGACGAAAGCTTCACTCCAGATTTGTATGTAATGATATTGTTGTTAAACAGTATTATGAAGTTGTATCTTTTATGAGTAAAAACGAAACAAATCTGTGAAAGGAAGGAAATATTACTAAGAATTGTGCTTGAAAAAAAAAAAAAGAATTGTGCTTGAAGAAACAATTTGGCTAATCATGCCCTTTTTTTCCTTCAATGTCTACTTTTCTTAATATAACTATGTTTTGCATAGATGGGTTAGATTAGTCCCTTAAAGTAAATATTTAAGTATTTATTTAACAAATGTACATTGAGGTCCTAGGCACAGTAATTGGTGCTAAGGTTGGGCTCTCTATAAAGAGACCCAACCCTTATATTGCTTACAATCTAGTGTATAAGAGTCATTAAAAGACTTCTTAGCTAGGGGATCCCTGGGTAGCTCAGCGGTTTAGAGCCTGCCTTCGGCCCAGGGCATCATCCTGGAGTCCTGGGATCGAGTCCCGCATCGGGCTCCCTGCATGGAGCCTGCTTCTCCCTCTGCCTGTGTCTCTGCCTCTTTCTCTCTCTCTTTCTCTCTCTCTCTGTCTCGTGAATAAATAAATAAAATCTTAAAAAAAGAGGATAAAAATCTTATAAAAAAAAAAAAAGACTTCTTAGCTAAACCAAAGAAGTAATTCTAAGTCTTTTTTTCTTAATGTATGATAAATTATTGAAAGTAGACCCAATTAGAGGGGGAAAAATGATAAATCTGAATTTTAAAACCCTAAGAAAACTTAAGTTCTAAATCAGGAGAGGAAATGCCGTATACTATTATGGTTCTCTTTAATCAATTTAAAGTGCCTGGCACATATAATGTGTTCAATAAATGTTAACTGTGATAATCCGTGTTTGTATAAAGCAGCAGTAAAATTGGAGCAAGCAACCCTGCCCTGTATTTCTAAGAAACATTTTGAGCTGAGATAGCAGACATGTGGAGCACTAAGAGTCACACAGAAAACGTTGAATAAAAAAAGAACAGCATGTCCAAGGTATCCCTAGCTGCATGTATCTCTTAGTACAGAAAGATGGCATCACTGGGACCCATCTTTTTCCAGCTATCCACTGTTTTTGTGGATTCCTTAGAAAGTTTAAAGGGAATTGCTTTAGAAAATGAATTGGTCAAAATCAGAATTCCAAGTGACCAAGTTTTCAAGTATTGGTAATTGTGGTACATGTAGGAATTCTCAAAACTAATCTGTGCTTTCAAGCATTTTCCTCTTTCCTGAAGTGTTTAGTATTTTCTATTTTTGGTTACTTCAGAGCTCTTTTTTGGGAAATTTAGTGAACTTTAGAATGAATATACCGCCTAGTAATTTTATTCTTATTTTTTGAGTGGAGGTATGTGTATTCTTTTAACATTTCTTGCTCATTTTAGCTAGTTATGTTTAATTGCTTCATTGGTTTGACAGACTTTGATCAGCTATAACAAGTCTTATCTTACTGGTGTTAAAAAAAAATAACATCATGAGTTTTTAAAATTTGTTCACAACTCTTAAGTAAATTTTCTGAACATGAAATTGTCCAAAAGAAATATTTTCTACCATTAGAGTGTATATTAACTTTTATATATTACAGATATATTTTACTTTTTAGTTTTCTTTAAGCAATATTATTTATTTTTAAGATACTTATAACTTTTAAAAATTCACTTACTGCCACTCTGTGGAAAATGAGTCACTGGAAATAATACTTATTTTTAACAATGCTTCATCTGATTCACCTATGATTGAGATACTCAGTGAAACATATATTTTCAGAACACTAGATTTAATAGTCTTATTCTCTCTCCACAGCCAGAAAAGGGGTGCTGCCAGCCAGTAATCATGCAGTGATAACTTTTTTTTCCTTCCAAGTTTCTTTCTTTTGTAATTTGGTGCACCCATTTCCTAAAGTAGGGAATTTTAGGTACTTCCCTATTTCTCTCTGCACACACCCCTCTTTATTTGTCTTTCTTGTCAGTTCAGTGATGATCCCTACTATTTTCAGTGAAAAATTGCTTACCTTATGGCTTCTTAGGGTTACATTAGCTCGAGTATACATTCTGTCTTCTTAGTCTGATCATTGCCAAGGTAGGTAACACTTTTCTAAGTAGTAGGTTCGTGTTACTTGCTTAGTGATAGGTTTGTTGATGCAGCTCAGTGGTCAAGGTGTTCTTTAATCCCACTTGAACGTTTCACAGCATTTACTCTTTCACCTTTTTCTTTCTGGACAGGTTATTACAAGTTACTATAACATAAAGTTAACCTTTCATTTTGTTTTAGGTTTTTGTGGTTGTAGTATGTGTTTATTTTTCTTGCTGTTTTATTTTTTTTGAGAAGGCAGGAATTGATGATCATGTTTATTAATTCCCTAAGGCTCTCAGCATTTTTTTTATAAGGTGAGGGTACAAAAATAGATTGATAAGGAGTTAAATGCCCTTCTTGGGACTACTTACATCCTTAAGAAAAAAATAATTGCATAGTGGCTTGACAAACTACTAATATACAGATAGATGTATCTTTGAGTTAAAATGAATATAGTTTTTTTATCTCCAAATATATATATAATTTTTATAAATGTGTTTATACATAATATTCCATTTCTAAGAATTTAATTTATTAGCTGGAGTGAGAGATTTTGGAAGGTATCCATTTCAACATTTGGACTATTTTCTTCATAGGAATATTTTTCAAGATGTCTTACACAGAGACACTCTAGTAAAAGCCTTCCTGGATCAGGTAAATGTTAAGCCTAAGATTGTCAAAATGAATGTTATGGTATGTTGTCTTTTTTAATGTATACTACATTGCCTGTGCTATATATGTAATATCATAGAACTAAGTCGTTATTTTTTTTAAGTCATTATCTTTTTGTAATGTTTCAGGTCTTTCTAAAATGTCTACACGGTATTTCTTTTGATTGTTAATGGGCGTTAGCCTGTATATTAACAATTAAAGATGCAATATGTCCCAGTTCAAATAATAAATGTTTTAATTCCAACCACAAACCTATAACTCAAGGTGTTGTCTTTTGGGGAGGGGAGGATATTTTTTTATTTGCCTTAATTGAGCCAAAATGTCTTTAAAACTTGTATACTTCTAAAATAATAACATCTTTATTGTCTCATTCTTCTGAAAAATACCTGATTAGTTAACATTGAGGAAAACTATAGATTATATGGGACTTGTTTCTTAATATAACAGAGCTTTGTCATAATATCATTTTGGGAATCAGGCCCGGAAACAGTGTCATAGGGATAGCTTTGAAATTATGAGGTCCTTAGATTGACTCAGAATTTTAGATACAGGTCTATGTGGTCTGTGACATAGTGCATAGTTCAAGGGTAATTAATAATCATGCAACTAATTCGATATTTCTCAAGCTGAATAAAATCATTCTACCACTACCCATGTATCCTCACCCCTCAACAGTAGAGAGAAAAAAATATCTCAAAACCATAGTCTGTAAGCATGGCTCGACTTCTGAGAGCTTCAATTTTGTTTGGAAATGTGGGCAGGAAAAATTAAGTAATATAAGTGGAAGTAAATTACATCATGATTCCTTTTTTCTTCTTAAGATTTTTATTTATTTATTTGAGAGAGGGCACACACATAAGCCAGAGGAGGGGCAAAGGGAAAAGCAGACTCCCCCCTGAGCAGGGAGCCCGACATGTAGCTGGATTCTAGGACCCTGGGATCATGACCTTAGCTAACTGACAACTGCTTACCTGACTGACTGAGCCACCCAGGAGCCCCTACATCATGATTCTTAACAATAAAGTAAATAGGGATGTATTCTGTGGTAGAATGGAAAAGTTGAGCTCATTTTCAAAGATAAAATAGAAGACTTCAGAAAAGCATGATTGCCTCTAGACTCAGTACTTCTGGTCTGTTAGACGCATCAGTGGCAATGGTTATGGAGAACTGCTCTAAAGTGTGTTACCTTTCAGACATTGTCAACACAGTGATAGAAACATGCTGTATAAGAAGAATTGGAGCAAATTATTTATTAAAATGCTTCATTTTCCTGTAGGTCTTTCATTTGAAACCTGGTTTATCTCTCAGGAGTACTTTCCTTGCACAGTTTCTACTCGTCCTTCACAGAAAAGCCTTGACCCTGATAAAATATATAGAAGATGATACGTAAGTAACACCATATGAAATAAAAAAAACCTTTGTGCATTATTAATGTTTTGTTTTGTTCCTTTGGGACATTGTCTATATCTTTATATGTATTTGTATATAAAAGTTTTTTTTTTTTTCTTCATTATTTATAGGCAAAAAGGGAAAAAGCCCTTTAAATCTCTACGGAACCTGAAGATAGACCTTGATTTAACAGCAGAGGGCGACCTTAACATAATAATGGCTCTAGCTGAGAAAATTAAACCAGGCCTACACTCCTTTATCTTCGGAAGACCTCTCTATACTAGTGTACAGGAACGAGATGTTCTAATGACTTTTTAAATGTGTAACTTGTCATTAATATTTCATCACAATCATGATTGCTGCCAAAGTAGCTTGGCAGTGTGGGAAACATCATTCCTGCAGGTCGTGTCCTAGTCTACTTGGCAATGCAGTTAAAATTAGTTACACTACAGTTGTCACCAGTCTGTAGGAGGACGTCAGGCTCATCGTTACAATGGGTGCATCTTTTCCTAGATATGCTGTCTTGGGATACAAACTTAGGTTTACAATTATAGTAAATGTTACTGCTATCTTTTAAAAATATAATAATGGAATATAAACTTGACCACAACTACTGTTTCTTGAAACTTAGAATTCATGGTTTACATGTATCAAAGTGAAATCTGAGTTAGTTTTCACTGGTATAATACTAACTGACTTTTCATCTCTTGATATTCCTTGGTATGTAAGATTACTGAAATACTATATAATCACCTGAAAATTAGAGCATTTGAATCATTTCAGTTCCACAAAAGGAAGTTGGCTTGAACATAGGTTAAATTTTAGAAAGAATATATTGATCAAGCAGATGTATAATTCAAATTAATTATTAGATCCTACTTTATAGATTTGATAGTCCGTAGAGTTTAATCTGTGTAAAAACATCACGCAGCATGTGTAGTCCTGATTATGGCGAAACCACAGTTGGGTGTGTTTGTGTGTGTTTGTGTGTTGAACTATGTCAAAGAAAATAGAGGAAATTGGGTTTTATGTTTTAATGGTTATTGCCAACTATTTAAATTACTTTTTATTATTTTTGAGCCAAATTGAAATGTATACCTCCTGTGCCTTTTTTTTTTTTTCTTGAAAAATATAATGACTTGGAAGAAGTTCAGATTACACTAGTCAGTCATTTTTATCTTGTTTTCCTCTTGTAGAGTCTCACCCTGATTTGGCAATTGTGACTCCAAGATTATGAAATGCAATAGAAAATATACTAACTAGTAAGATCTTTTCTCAAGAACAGAGAATAGTAGCTAGTCCTTTTCCTTCTTATGTTTCTGCCCATAATTTTGAAGTTGTTGGCAGGTCTCTTTCCTGAATCTTGTGAGGAAAGCAGGAGAAACTTGACTGATGTGCTATTTTACTAGGTGCTACTTTGGCAGAACTAAGTGGTCAATTTCTTTTGTTTCCTTAATGTGTTTGGACCATTTTGCTAGCTGTAAGATGACTGATAAATGTAAGTCTGTGCTAGAATGGTTTTGACATAATAGTATACACAAGCATAAAAATATTCTTATTTAAAACTGTGGAAGTTACAAAAAAGGGAAAAATATTTATAAGAAAGGGATAAAAGTGATAGAGCCACTCTGCTCTTGCTCACCAAATTAAACCAAAACAAACATGTTCTTTTCTGAAAGGTCCTAATTGCCTTTCACATCACTGATCAGAAAGGTATAGAATCTTCATATAGACATAAATGAAACCGGATGACTGGTGCTCCGTGGCTCAGTCATGAAACAATTTACAGATACCACCTTCTTGTACCCCTTACTCAGTGCTTTCTATGTGAGGTTATTAAAGAGTGCTGACCGATTATTTTCTTTTGCTGGTTTATTGTACTGTTAAATAGAATGCAAGTTGTACAGTGAAATAAGTTATTAAAGCATGTGTAAATACTATTGTATATTTTTTCTCCTATATGGAGAATTTTGAATAAAATAGCCTTAAAATGTTGTCTCTTAGCAATTATTTGTTCAGAAAAGCAGTGTTATGATAATGAAAGCGTGACAGTTTATGTTTTATCAAAACTCTTGTTTTCGTTTTTGAAAGAAAATGAAGGTTCTTTATAACACTGGAATCTTTTATTTATAATGCTGGTTTTTATTTTTTTAACTTAGTGTTTAACTCACAGGGTTACAATTTGATTTTTAAATTTCTGTATTAATATTTCAAATGTACAAGCTAATGCTTGGGTAAATTTTTTTTAAAATTTCTGTTATAAAATATTACTATAAGCTGAAGATATTTCTTTCAGATATATAGTACAGGTGTCCAAAATCAAAGTGCAAGGAATCTAAACCTTGTAATCTGGAAAACAAATAAGATTGACATTTTTACTCCAGGAAAAGAAAAATGTAATTCGTAAATACAATAGTTGAGATGAAAGGTTTCTTTATTTTTTTTTTTTAAGATTTTTATTTATTTATTCATGACAGACACATAGAGAGAGATAAAGGCAGAGACACAGGCAGAGGGAGAAGCAGGCTCCATGCAGGGAGTCTGACGTGGGACTCGATCCTGGGTCTCCAGGATCACACCCCGGGCTGAAGGTGGCGCTAAACTGCTGGGCCACCGGGGCTGCCCTGAAAGGTTTCTTTAAAAGAAGACTGATTCATATAATGCTAAGATTCTCAATGAAACCAAAATTTCATATAATGCTCTAAGGTAAAAATGAGCCAGTGACTCCTGTGGTCTATTTCTGTAATGCTGCAGGTTAAACAGGAGTATAGTGATTGTTACTTTTATGTAACACTGTTTTGATTTTGAAGTGGAACTGCGCAATTGATGTTTCTCCTGTGACCTGCAGGATATAGCTTAAAGTACTAAAATCACTCCCAATTAATACATCCTGCTCCATGGACTTTCTCAGTCTGTCATCACAACCATAAAAGACCAGTATTATTATTTCCACTTTACAAATGAGAAACTAAAGCTTACAGAAATATAACATGCAGCCAATGATCACTCAGCTAGTTAAGTTGGATTTTATCCCAGAAAGTATAATAGTTGCCATTCAGCACAGCACCTCATACAGTTCCTCCATGCAGTAGGTATTTGGTGGTGTTGGGTTGAAGGGAAGGAAGCAAGTATTATCGGACTACTAGTCCTCTGCAGTCCCCAAGTGTGATTCCCTGCTAGGTTGCTTGGAGAAGTTACTTAACCTCTCTGAGGCTTATGTATTAAATATTTGAAGTGAAGGCATGATGATACTTCATGTCTGTTAAAAGAGGATTTAATGAGATTGTCTAAGGTATTTACATCACTATCAGACCAGAGCTTTATACCTGCTTTTTTATACAATCTAAAAATCACCACATTTTAACCAGAGTATTTTAGAACATTTACATTTAATGTGATTATTGAAATGGTTTAGGTTAAATCTATCCTCTTGCTAGTTATTTTCTATTGTATTTTTCTTTGGATTTTTTTTCCTTCTGTTTTGTGTTGAGTATTTTTTATGATTCCGTTTTATCTCTTGTTGGCTTATTGTAACTCTTTGCTTATCAGTGATTGTTTGTAGTGTAGTATACTAAACTATACACATATACAGAGATGTATATAAAGATCTATACTATATATATCTTTAGCTTCTCAATCTGCATTCAAGTGATAAACTACTTGACATATAGTTGAAAAACTTTACAATAGTATACTTCTATTTCTCCCTTCTCATCTTTGTGCTATTGTGGCCTCACATTTTACTAATATATATGCTATAAGTTCCATACTTTGCTGTTATTATTTTTACCTGATTATCTTTTAAATGGATTTAAATGTAAATATTCTAAATTAAATGGTAGAAAGTATCCTATTAAATAAAAAAAACAACTTTATACTACCAACAACACACATCTTAAAAATAAAAGAACAAACCAATTATAACTAAAAGGATGGAGTATGATACAAAATACCAACACTAATCAAATGAAAGTAGGAATGACTATGTTAATATATAAAAAAAAAAAGCACATTTCAGAGCAAAGAATATTACCAGGAATAAAGATCATTTCGTAATGTTAAAGGGGTCAGTTCAGCAAGAGGACATAAAAACCCTAAGTGTTTGTTTACCTAGTAACAATTTCAAAATAAGCAAAGCAAAAATTGTAAGGAGAAGTAGACAAATCTACAATTATAGTTGGAGATTTGAAGATCCCTCTCACCATGCTTGTTGGAACAAAAAGACAAATACTAGAGTTACATTGTACATAGGCTCAATTTTAATGAAGAAATTCAGAGGAAAAAAATCTATATCCAAATCAGGATATAAAAGACTTGAACAAGACTGTTCACCAATTTGGTATGACATTTATAGAATACAGCAGTACTCAACAGTAGATTACATATTATTTGCAAGAGCATGGGGAACACGTACAAGGATAGACCATATTCTGGGCCATTGAACAAGTTTCAATAAATTAAAAGGATTCAAGTCATACAAAGTATGTTCTCTGATCACAATGGAATTATTACTTGGAAACTAACACTTGTAAAAGATTAGATGATTTCTAAATTGTATGCGTTTAGGGGACAAGGGAAAGTGGATTGGAAAGCAGAAAGGGAGGTATCAGAATGTTGTGGAATGATTTTTATGAATAGTGGAACTCAGACAAGCTCTGTTGGAGAAGATAAATACAATGCATGTATCTGATATAGGTCTTGTATCCAGAGTATAATCCAGAGTATAAAAAGAACTCAAAGACAACCCAATATTTTTAATGGGAAAAAGATTTCAACGAATGTCACACAAATATTTAAATGACCGATCATCATGTAAGATCATACCCAACATTAATCATCAGGAGATAAAAATTAGAACTGCAATGGATATCACTGCACAGGTACTAGAATAAGTAAAGGTGGATATTGGTGAGGATGTGGAGCAATTGGAATTCTCATATACTGCTGGTTAGAGTATAAAGTATTACGACCACTTTTGAAAATAGTTTGGCAGTCTTGTCAAATTCAGTACATATTTGTCATATGATCCAGCAATTCTACTCCTAAATATTTCCCCAGGAGAAAGGAAAACATGTCCACAAAACTACGTGCACACAACTGTTCATAGAAGCTATATTCATAAAAGTGCCAAAATGGAAACAGCCAAAATGTCCCATCCATGAAAGAATGAGTAAGCAAATTATAATATATAACAATAAATACACAGGAATAAAAAGGAATGAACTACAGAAATACATAACAAAATCTCAAAAACAGTACACTGAGCAGAAGAAACATGCGAAAGAACATGGGAAAGGGTGCATTATAGGGTCAACACTAGCATGAAACTGAGAGTCCATGTCTGTTCCATTTTGCATTTTGCAGCCTAGGACCTTCCTAGTCCAGGCTGAAAGTACTTACTGTGTCATTTCATTCATGTGAAACTATAACAGGCAAAACTAATCTATTGTGACAGCTTATCAGTGGCTACCTTGGACCAAGAGTGGATGATATTTTACTGGAAAGGGTTCAAGGGAACTCTTCAGAGTGATAAAAATGTTCAGTATCTTGATTGGGATTATGGTTAAATAGGTGCAATAAAAATCCAATAAGCTAAAAAAAAAAAAAAAGTGGAATTCAACCTGCCTTGGATGTCTCCCCACTACAAACCATTCTTCACACTGATAACAGTATGATCTTTTTTCAATCTCATGATCACTTCTGTTTAACAACTCCACATCATTTACAAAATTAAACTCAAAATCTTTGCAATTTCTGTTAAACTTTAACCTCATTTCTCACTTGCTAGTGCAATCTTTTGTTGGATATATTACATTATTCCTTTGCTTCTCTGTCTCTATGGCTAGGCTATATGGTTAGGCTACAAGATCAATACATTTTCATTTTTGTATCTCAATGCATAGCATGGTATTAGGCACAGGGCATGCTTCCAAAAAAATTTAGTTAAACAAATATAATGAGTATATGAAATACGATTTTCTTTGTCCTCTCCAAAAAGAATCAGTCCCTGCAAATTAAGGAAATTGCTTTCTTTATATAATTGGAAACATTTTTCCCAGAAAATCCTTCATTAAAATGGAGCCTATGCACAATGTAGCTCTAAAATTTCAAAGACGTTAAGGCAGTGATTTTCAATCTTTTCAGAGTAGTAATACCCTATCATTTGCTGTTTCTGCATTTGTGCCTCACTATCTCATCTCTTACTGAAATGTTCTTTTTAAATTAATAGCTTGATAAATGGGTAAGCAGTTTTCATCAGACCAGTTAGGACAATACTAAGTATCCATTTGTGGAGTGTGGACATTCTAGAAATCTGATCCCTTATTTAGAAAATCATTCCTGAGCTCAGAGTTGGCTCAAATTGGCACCTTCTGGCATTCGCTTGTGGGTGGGGAATGTGGAATGCTTTGAAAACTGAATGGATTTGTCAAGTTTTAAAACTCCCTTATGGTTAGAGGAAAACAACATTCATTGTTTAAAAACACCATTGTTTGTTTTTTCTTCTTTTCTGTTCTTTGGAGCCTGAATCTGCAAAAACATTCACACCCAGGATTTTGCTTCATGTACGTCTCCTAATATGCTTCTAGGAGACATGAGTGATTTGAAAAACTTTCTACTGTGATTGTTTAGAATGGTTCAGGACAAATTTAAAAAGTCCATTTTAATGCTCATACTGTATTTTATGGAGAAAGACCAGATTTCTGTCATCGTAGGCAGAGAGTAGAGTTGATAAGAGTGTGGGTTCTGGAGCTGAGACTACCAAGGCTCAAATCCCTATTTTCCCACTTCTTGGCCATGTGATTCTGGACAAGGTATTTAACCCCTCTGTCCTGCTTCAATATCCTCATCCATTCAATAGGCATGAGAATAGAATAGGTCCAGGGTAATCACTGGTATGCTGTCACAATAGATTAGTTTTTGAGTGGAATTATATAGGAAGTACTTCCAGGCTGGGACTAGGGAGGTCCTAAAATGCAAACTGGAACAGATGTTCA